TGGAAGATTAAGTCAAAATAAGGTTATTTTTGAACTCATGTCATTTTTTTTGTAAAGCCACCCTGTTGCCTTTTGTTAAGGTATTATCAAAGAGAAGGAAAAAAAACTTTCTTCCCTTAGAAGTACAGTATAAGTCTACCATTACAAGTCCCAGCTGACCCATTCATTAATGCTTATTACAAAAAAGAACCCTTTAAACACCTTTTATCTGTGTTATAAAACAGGCTAAGATTTGGATGATATAAAGGTAGGGTGATCAACTCACTGGGGTTTGCCTGGAACTTTCTCAATTTTAGCCCTGTAAGTTTCACGTCCCAGGACATTGCTCAGTTTTGGGCAAGCCAGGATGGTTGGTCGCCCATGAAGATGCACTTAAGACCAAGAGCCCAGGGATGTTCAAACCCTACTTTGTCGTCGTGCCCCAACTTCCCATGACGCTCCCAAAGAGGCTACCTGAAAAAAGAGCAGCAAACTGTCAATACACCGCCACTTTATTATTAGACTGGGCTAGTCCCCAGAGAGCTACAATAAACCTGTCATTAGAGCACATGGACTACTCCAAAGACCAGGGGCCTCTACATCGCTCCTCCAAACCCAAATAAAGATCTCAGGATTTACGATCCTTTGGCCTGCAGTAAAGTAGAAATAGAAGACTGATGCAAAGATAAACAGGCTTGAGTATAATTTGCAAGGAAGAAGGCAGAGATGGCTGACCTTGGGTGACGTGGCTTAGGTTCTCTCTCCCAGTCTCCAGAAACACAGTGCAGAAGGGGGAGCCACGTGTATATGGTCTTTTGTTGCTGGCTGACTTTTCATATTGGTAAATATAGCCTAATCCATGTCCTGGAATATAAGGACATCTCTTCACTAGCGGTGGGCTAGGAGTGGGAGTTGGAGGGAAGGAAACCCTGCACAGTGCTAACAACAGAACCAGTTCAAGAGCCACAAGTGTGACCATGTGAATGTGTGAAACCTCTATAAGAGACCGATTTCAAAGTCATAGAAGCCTTTTTAGTTTCTTTAGTAGACAATTTATTTTGATAAACTTGCTCAATAACAAAAATACAAGTGAAGAAAATTATGTTCATTTTATACAGTTGTATTAACAATTTGTTTTGAAACTATTAATTGAAAAATATTATAACCAATTAGAAAACAATTCTTAATAAAGTTTGGGATAATATACAGACCTTGACCATGAACTTTAAAATCTCTCAAGGGGATACAACTAATAAGGTAGGAACCCTACCTACACAGACCATGACTTTCCTTCATATATTTTTATCCTTCAAAAATTCTCTGAAAGACAGCTTGTTATTTCGAGTTGTGAATATAAATTTAATTTTTTAAAGGAGATCAAAATGGGTTGCTAGGACAGCTACTACCATCACAGTAACTTGTGCCTAGTAGTCTTTTAATAAAGACAAAGTAAATGCAACATGTTCTTCCCATGAAGCCCACGATGCAAAGAAATAGCTGAGAGTGTAACCAAAGCGATTTTCTAAGACTTTTTCGGGGCCTTTCCTCTAAATCAATAGATTGCTTGTCACCAGGACTATTTATTATTATTAAACATAAGAGATTAAACAGTGAATTCACAGAACATCGAATAGGGATATCAAAGCTTTAGGTAAAAGGGTAAAAACCAATTAAACCAAAACTGTTCATCTAGAACATTAAAAGGTGGGTGGGTGGGGGAGCCGTCCTTCGAAATCAAAACAAATAAAACAGAAAGTAGGTTTATAAGAGATGGAAGGGTCCGAAAAATTACATACATACATTAACAACATAGAACATGGATTACCTTTGGAAATAACCACACTGAAATATTTGCTTTTAATGAACTGAAGAATTTTCATGTTTACAGATGTTTAGGCATGTTCAATAGGAGCTTCCAAAAATGTCAAATGAATTAAATCTTGTGCAAATAAAACCTATAAATAGTTTTCAGCAGATTTTACAGTGATATTCTTAGGTATGAGAAGAATGCACACACTAAAAACAATGTAACAGACAAAATTCTGACAAATGATTGCACCATAAAACAGTGTTTTATATACAGTTTACAAGATATGATTTCCTGCTATAAATTAATACTGCACTATATAATACTCAATATAGTGACCTTTTTAAAAGGAACTGCTGACAGTTATCTATCTTTTCACTTACAGGATTTATAGAATTTTGAATGAATGAGTCCATTTCAGTGTTTGGTCTGGAAGAGCACAGAGATCTGACTTCATATACTACTTGATGGGGTGGTTTTAATCCTTGGTTAGAGCACTCAGTGGCTAGAGGGAGTGTTCCTCAATCAGCCATGTACGCACCAGACCTCCAAGACAATGATGAAATTAAAGACAATTCAATGGTTTGGGTAATAGATACAAACAAAATCTTAAATCATGTAACCTTATAATGCAATACCACTGTAAGTGAAAGAAGTAAACAGTGGGGAAATTCTTAGCAGCTGAGAAACTCTCTCTCCCCATGCTCATGATCCAGTTAAAAATATTTTGAGAAACTATTTACAATAAAATTTATCTTTTGGAAGAGAAAAGCTCTTGGACATATCATAAATTAATGTGAACCATACTTTGCTAACACTTTATCTCAGTGGTATATTGGTGACAACCAAAGCTTTCTTTCAAAGTGATCCATGGAATTGAAGACCAGTCAGATCACAATAGGAACTGTAATCCCAAACATCTATAGAATTTATGTCTAGTGGTATTCTTGGAATGGACCAGACATCATAATACCTGGGGGAATATAGTCTCCTGTGGATGTTTCCCACAGGGTTCTTTTCCCCTGGGAAGGAAAGTGTGACATTCCCCAAAACACTTCAGATGTGCACCACAGTCCTGCCCCACCTCTTACCCCGACTCCTGAAGTGAGTGAAACACTGGGGTTTGCTTTCACAATAAAATACTGCTGAATTAACAGTTGTTGTTATGTGCTGTCGAGTTGGCCCCGACTCATAGCGGCTCCTCTTTGGGTTTCCCAGGCAGTATCACTATGGAAGTAGGATTGCCCAACCTTCCTTCTGAGGAGTGGCTGGTGGGTTTGGACCGCCAGCCGTCTGGTTAGCAGGCAAGTGTCTTAGCTACTATGCTACCAGAGCTCCTGAATTAACAGTAGGATATATAAATGTCACACAGGCCAGTGTGAAGCACATCAGGCACCTCCATTCCACACTTTGAATATCCGAGGAGGTAGCCCCATCTCTGAAGTAACCATTCTATAGATTATAATTGAGCTTCTGAAAAAACAGTGCATTCATTTCTGCTTGTGTGAAGCACTGGCTACACAGGACTCTAACTCTCCTGATCGGGACATCTGGTTGCCATGTCACTATAAAGAAGAAAAACTTCGCTCCATTGCCATGAAAGATGCTCCTGCCTCACATTTCAAATAGAGTATATCCATATTGCTCACCTGGAAAAACAACTAAGCATCGACATGAAAGCTTAGAAATGTGGAGAAGAGAAATACTGTGGGTTGAAACTATTTGTAGGTTCAAGGTTAGCTGCAATGCTCCTTTTAGGAAAATTTAAAGCTGTGGGTTTAGTACAGCCCTTTAAAGTAAATGCAAAAACGTTAGCTTCCCGCAAACAAGGCATATAGCACATAAAGTAAATACTGTATTGCTCAGGTTTTTGGTAAAGGGGATGCATGGGTAATGCTTACAGACTGAGGGAACATAAGTTAATTGAATTTTTATGGCAGGACGAAGTAGCCGTAGCCAAAATACTGTGAATTGATAATTCCTAGTGAACTTTGGATTTATGTAAAGTTGTGTGCTTGAACATATAAAATGCATTATTAATGTAACAGACTGAGCCAGTAGAAAAGAGAACCTCTGTACAACAGACAACAGTTGCTAATAATTTAAGTAGTGTCAGAGTTCCCCAAATGGTAAGGTTTGAACTTTAACCTACGACATGATCTTATCTTCTACTATCATATACAAATAAATTAACCCTACAAAGATTTTTTAGCTTAACTTAAAATTGCACCTAGAAAGGTATGGGATTATTTGTACCTATTACAAAAACCTGTTAAAATCAAGGGCTGCTACAAAGAATGAGGTAAACTGAAGACTCTCTCCACTATGCAGCCTTCAGAGAAATGGCTTTTTTTCTACTGAGTTCTAGGTTTGCACACCACAGTGTTTTGCTAGCAAAGCATTCAGAGTTCTCTTCCAGGAACTGTTTGCATGTGTGTGTATATAAATTTACACACCCATACCCACACACACATATATACACACTGTATACTGCATCAGCAAAATATATATATTATATATATATATTTATATAAATATAAG